TTACCACCACCATTCTTGTCATCAACATAATTACCGTCAGGATCCTTCGTTATCATCACTATCCCCCCTATCATTTTTATCGTCATCATCATTCTTATTATTACTACAATCATTATTATAATCATCATCAAAATTCCTACCGTTACTACCATCATCATTATTAACGCTATCTTTGTCATCTTCATTACTACCATTATCATCATTAACATCCCCCCTCCTCCATCAACCGTATCATAATCGTCATCATTAAAACCACTATCATCATCCTTGTTACCACCATCATCTTTGCTATCTTCAATAACACCACTGTCTTTACCACGCCCATTAACACCCCTCGTCGATCTCCATCTTCCGTATCGTTATTATCTTTATCGCCCTTAAAATCACTACAATCATCATCATTACCACCAAGATCTTTATCACTATCTCTAACGCTCCCATGCCTATTAGTATTTTTTAATACTACCATCCTTATGATCATTACCACCACCATCCGTATCATTATCATCATTTTACCTCTATCATCCTTATCATCATCATTACCATCACCATCCGTATCATTATCATCATTTTACCTCCATCATCCTTGTCATTATCATCATCATTACCATCACCGCCACTAGTATCATCTATATCACCACCATTACCGTTCACCGCTGCCGTCTTCTACCTCTTCTTCAGGAAATGTGCATTCGGATATTACACGTATCCGAATGGCACACGCTACACAGCTCGGATGGTCTTTGACCAGGAAACACAACGATGTGCGCTTGAGGCTGCCTACTGTCCCAGGATTCCACAGAACTACTCAGAAGTTCAAAATTATCCTGACAGTAAGTACAAATTCTAGCACCGTCTCGCTGAGACACTAGCAGCCCTCTAAGGACTAGCATCATTTGACTATATAAGGACAGATCTTCTACCATCCCGGCATTTTTAAGCTGAGATACGAGGCTATCATCTTTTAGCTGATGTACAAGCATCACTCTAACTGTAGGGCTAGCATCTTTCAGCTGAGATACGAGCAGGTATCATCTTCTAGCTGATGTACAAGCATTACTCTTACTTTAGGGCTAGCATCTTTCAGCTGAGATACGAGCAGGTATCATCTTTTAGCTGATGTACAAGCATCACTCTTACTTTAGGGCTAGCATCTTTCAGCTGAGATACGAGCAGGTATCATCTTTTTGCTGATGTACAAGCATCACTCTAACTGTAGAGCTAGCATCTTTCAGCTGAGATACGAGCAGGTATTATCTTTTAGCTGATGTACAAGCATCACTCTTACTTTAGGGCTAGCATCCTTCAGCTGAGATACGAGCAGGTATCATCTTTTAGCTGATGTACAAGCATCACTCTTACTTTAGGGCTAGCATCTTTCAGCTGAGATACGAGCAGGTATCATCTTTTAGCTGATGTACAAGCATCACTCTTACTCTAGGGCTAGCATTTTTCAGCTGAGATACGAGCAGCACTCTTACGACTAGCATCTCTACACAGTGAAACCGCAGTTCTTGAACGCTTTCCTTCTAGAGCATGTTAGTTTCTGAATAATTTTTGGGTTTAAGAAACGCCTCAGTGTCCTAAAAAAAAATTTGATGCTTAAAACGTTCAAACCGAGGAAAACATGACACACCTAGACTGTAGGAGTGCCCAGGTAAATCCCATTCAAAACCTCGCGGTCGACGAATCGAGGTGACTTTCGTTAGTTGTACCTATTGGACATATAGTGCTAGACTCATATTTTATACACCAGTCCGCCAACGAGGCGGTTTTTTGGTCAACATCAGGCCAACTGCCATCTTTCCTTAGGACATGTTTTGATATCAGTTTTAGGCTGGGTATATTTGGGAGTTAAGGTCAATTATTATTCCAATTCAGCTTCGTTTCCAAACCAACTCGATTTATTTGTGTATATAAATATAGGTCAAGTATTGTTTCCTAGATTCCGCATTTTTACTTTTGTTTTCTAACTTTACCCATATTAACGCTCGCCTGCGGATCTTAAGGTCGTGGGTTGGCGTCCTGACTTTTAAAAAACATGTCCTTGTTTTCCAGGTTGACCGAGCCTAGAGTGGGTATCAGGTATAGTTCGGGGAAGTAAAGGTTGCCGGCGTGATGTTGACCACACCACCCACCACTGTATATGTCTAGACCTATGTGGAAACGGGTCTTTTACTCATATGATCATATCCATCGTTGTCTTGCTATGCCATTATTTGTCACGTAGGGCTCCCAGTCTAGTCACCTCTTCCATTCTATCATGTACAATCCCTTGGATAAAGTTCAGTTCAGCATCTTTGGTTTCTCCTATCAACATCGTTCTCAGAGTTTCTCTTGAACGTCCTCGTTTCCCCAGTCCCTATATTTCCAATTGCAGTGCCTGTTTGTTGAAGTTCTGTTCGTTTCTTCTCAGAATTTCCACTATAGCGCTATCTTCTTTGTCCTAACCATTGATACCAGTTGATGCTCAAACTTTTCTCTTATTTCTTAAATACATTCCATTTTAACTTTACCAGTGCACTGATATAAAATTTGCCATCGCGATTTTATTTATAATGGTGCCTTTGAGTGCCTGACATCTCCTGCTAAGATTTATCTAATTCCAAGCCAATGGTTATAATGTTTCCACAAAGATTTATTTGTCCATTTTTCAGGTGACTCTTTCACAGAACTGAACAAACGTTCTTGCATTCGTAACGAGCACGACTGTGTTGGCAAAAAAATTGGTGACTACCGAGCCTGCAGCCCAGAGTGTAAAAGAGGAGTCTATTATAGCTGCAGTTACGACGTCGGATACAGAATGTGAGTTAAATGTCGTTTTAACTCTTTGCGTCTCAGTCAGTCTAGCACTACACGGTGTTTTAAAAAAAAGTTGTTGTGAAGGATAACTGATATCATAGGTTGAACCTAGAGCCTCAGGATCCTTTAACCCCACCATCGCCCCCCCCCCCCCCCTTTCCGCTCCCACCCTGTACTTAACACTTTTGTAAGGTAATTAACTAATGTTAGTTTTAGCTTCATAACAAACGGTTTACCATATTGTTGCTCCTCTCCAGTGCCAACGAAAAACACACACACTATCCAACACTGTCCATTGTGGATATTGACACAGACTCTGCGGTCTCAGTATATCCACTAGTTTACACACGCGTTAAAAGCATAAGGCAGTCCAACATTAGAAATGAAGTTCTTCATTGATGGAAGCAGTAGTTACAAACAGATCAGCACAGACGATCAATTGTAATCACCTAAGGCACCATCGATTTTCTGTGGCAAGATGCCAGGCGCCCTTTTCCTAATCTACAGTTCACAACACCAATTGCTCACAGTCAAAAACCATTCCAAATTAAATCTGCAGCTCTCATAGCTGCGAAATGCACACGGGTCAACAGCTGGGCGACAAAACTATATACTTTTATTCTACAAATGAAGATAAACGCAACCACCGCCGTCTGTAAGAAGCAAAAGAAAACTGTCACAGCTCAAACAAGCAAAAAACTGTGACCATGCCTATCATCAATTTTGACCTGAAGTCCTTTTTGAACGGTAGCTAAGCAGTATCCTTTACCACTTAAAGAAATGCTCTTTCAAAGTATTGGCTTGTAAATGTCATATTATACTGATCAGGCATTCAACATATTTATTTTCTAATTATTGTGCTTCAAAACTAAGATTATGTAGGATCACTGAGGACTCCTCCAAACCAAAATTTATAATAAAGGACGAGTTGCTGTAACCCTCCCCCATCCCTCCCCCCCCCTCCCTTTTCCCTGATCCTACTCCTCTCCCGCACCTACCAGTGATTACTTTGTCTCATGCCCTTTACTGCTATAAATATATATTATTATTAGTTTCTCTAATCCCTGTTCTACCTTTCAGACGACCTCTAGTACTGCTTGCCTTGTTTGAACCATTTGATATGTTGTTTCTTGACGCAGTTTAGTATTGGTTTTGTCCAAAATTGTTCCCTGTTAATGTAATTTCTGACCCAGTCTTTACATACGCATATATATATATATATATATATATATATATATATATATATATATATATATATATATATATATAATATATATATATATATGTGATTGAAATAATAAAAAGGAAATGTTTAGGAAATGTCTTCAAATATATATATATATATATATATATATATATATATATATATATATATATATCTATATATATATATATATATATTTTAAAGACATTTCCTAAACATTTCCTTTTTATTATTTCAATCGTTCTTTTTTCCTTTTGTTAATATCACACGTTTCGTCATATTCGCATCATCTTCAGACTCAATTTCGTCATCATAACCACCACCATTCTTGTCATCAACATAATTATCGTCAGGATACTTCATTATTATCACTATCCCCCCTATCATTTTTATCGTCATCATCATTCTTGCTATTACTGCAATCATCATTATCATCATCATCAAAATTCTTACCGTTTCTACCATCATCATTATTAACGCTATCCTTGTCATCTTCATTACTACCATTATCATCATTAACATCCCCCCTCCCCCATCAACCGTATCATAATCGTTATCATTAAAACCACTATCATAATCATTATTACCACTATCATCTTTGCTATCTTCAATAACACCACTGTCTTTACCACGCCCATTAACACCCCTCGTCGATCTCCATCATCCGTATCGTTATCATCTTTATCGCCCTTAAAATCACTACAATCATCATCATTACCACCAAGATCTTTATCACTATCACTAACGCTCCCATGCCTATTAGTATTTTTTAATACTACCATCCTTATGATCATTACCACCACCATCCGTATCATTATCATCATTTTACCTCTATCATCCTTATCATCATCATTACCATCACCATCCGTATCATTATCATCATTTTACCTCCATCATCCTTGTCATTATCATCATCATCACCATCACCGCCACTAGTATCATCTATATCACCACCATTACCGTTCACCGCTGCCGTCTTCTACCTCTTCTTCAGGAAATGTGCATTCGGATATTACACGTATCCAAATGGCACACGCTACACAGCTCGGATGGTCTTTGACCAGGAAACACAACGATGTGCGCTTGAGGCTGCCTACTGTCCCAGGATTCCACAGAACTACTCAGAAGTTCAAAATTATCCTGACAGTAAGTACAAATTCTAGCACCGTCTCGCTGAGACACTAGCAGCCCTCTAAGGACTAGCATCATTTGACTATATAAAGACAGATCTTCTACCATCCCGGCATTTTTAAGCTGAGATACGAGGCTATCATCTTTTAGCTGATGTACAAGCATCACACTAACTGTAGGGCTAGCATCTTTCAGCTGAGATACGAGCAGGTATCATCTTCTAGCTGATTTACAAGCATTACTCTTACTTTAGGGCTAGCATCTTTCAGCTGAGATACGAGCAGGTATCATCTTTTAGCTGATGTACAAGCATCACTATAACTCTAGGGCTAGCATTTTTCAGCTGAGATACGAGCAGCACTCTTACGACTAGCATCTCTACACAGTGAAACCGCAGTTCTTGAACGCTTTCCTTCTAGAGCATGTTAGTTTCTGAATAATTTTTGGGTTTAAGAAACGCCTCAGTGTCCTAAAAAAAAAAAATTTGATGCTTAAAACGTTCAAACCGAGGAAAACATGACACACCTAGACTGTAGGAGTGCCCAGGTAAATCCCATTCAAAACCTCGCGGTCGACGAATCGAGGTGACTTTCGTTAGTTGTACCTATTGGACATATAGTGCTAGACTCATATTTTATACACCAGTCCGCCAACGAGGCGGTTTTTTGGTCAACATCAGGCCAACTGCCATCTTTCCTTAGGACATGTTTTGATATCAGTTTTAGGCTGGGTATATTTGGGAGTTAAGGTCAATTATTATTCCAATTCAGCTTCGTTTCCAAACCAACTCGATTTATTTGTGTAAATAAATATAGGTCAAGCATTGTTTCCTAGATTCCGCATTTTTGCTTTTGTTTTCTAACTTTACCCATATTAACGCTCGCCTGCGGATCTTAAGGTCGTGGGTTGGCGTCCTGACTTTTAAAAAACATGTCCTTGTTTTCCAGGTTGACCGAGCCTAGAGTGGGTATCAGGTATAGTTCGGGGAAGTAAAGGTTGCCGGCGTGATGTTGACCACACCACCCACCACTGTATATGTCTAGACCTATGTGGAAACGGGTCTTTTACTCATATGATCATATCCATCGTTGTCTTGCTATGCCATTATTTGTCACGTAGGGCTCCCAGTCTAGTCACCTCTTCCATTCTATCATGTACAATCCCTTGGATAAAGTTCAGTTCAGCATCTTTGGTTTCTCCTATCAACATCGTTCTCAGAGTTTCTCTTGAACGTCCTCGTTTCCCCAGTCCCTATATTTCCAATTGCAGTGCCTGTTTGTTGAAGTTCTGTTCGTTTCTTCTCAGGATTTCCACTATAGCGCTATCTTCTTTGTCCTAACCATTGATACCAGTTGATGCTCAAACTTTTCTCTTATTTCTTAAATACATTCCATTTTAACTTTACCAGTGCACTGATATAAAATTTGCCATCGCGATTTTATTTATAATGGTGCCTTTGAGTGCCTGACATCTCCTGCAAAGATTTATCTAATTCCAAGCCAATGGTTATAATGTTTCCACAAAGATTTATTTGTCCATTTTTCAGCTGACTCTTTCACAGAACTGAACAAACGTTCTTGCATTCGTAACGAGCACGACTGTGTTGGCAAAAAAACAGGTGACTACCGAGCCTGCAGCCCAGAGTGTAAAAGAGGAGTCTATTATAGCTGCAGTTACGACGTCGGATACAGAATGTGAGTTAAATGTCGTTTTAACTCTTTGCGTCTCAGTCAGCCTAGCACTACACGGTGTTTAAAAAAAGTTGTGGTGAAGGAAAACTGATATCATAGGTTGAACGTGGGGCCTCAGGATCCTTTAACCCCACCCCCCTGCCCCCACCCTGCACTTAACTCTTTTGTAAGATAATTAACTAATGTTAGTTTTAGCTTCATAACAAACGGTTTACCCCATAGTTGCTCCACTCCTGTGCCAACGAAAAACACACACAATATCCAACACTGTCCATTGTGGATATTGACGCATACTCTGCGGTCTCAGTATATCTACTAGTTTACACACGCGTTAAAAGCATAAGGCAGTTATTAGAAGTGCTAACACAAACAGTCCAACATTAGAAATGAAGTTCTTCATCGATGGAAGCAGTAGTTACAAAAAGATCAGCACAGACGATCAATTGTATTAACCTAAGGCACCATCGATTTTCTGTGGCAAGATGCCACGTGCCCTTTTCCTAATCTACAGTTCACAACACCGCATTGCTCACAGTCAAAAACCATTCAACATTAAATCTGCAGCTCTTATAGCCGCGAAATGCACGCGGGTCAACAGCTGGGCGACAAAACTATATCCTTTTATTCTACAAATGAAGATAAACGCAACCACCGCCGTCTGTCAGAAGCAAAAGAAAACTGTCACAGCTCAAACAAGCAAAAAACTGTGACCATGCCTATCATCAATTTTGACCTGAAGTCCTTTTTGAACGGTAGCTAAGCAGTATCCTTTACCACTTAAAGAAATGCTCTTTCAAAGTATTGGCTTGTAAATGTCCTATTATACTGATCAGGCATTCAACATATTTATTTTCTAATTATTGTGCTTCAAAACTAAGATTATGTAGGATCACTGAGAGCTCCTCCAAACCAAAATTGATAATAAAGGACGAGTTGCTGTAACTCTCTCTCCCTCGCCCCCCCCCTCCCTTTTCCCTGATCCTACTCCTCTCCCGCACCTACCAGTGATTACTTTGTCTCATGCCCTTTACTGCTATAAATATATATTATTATTAGTTTCTCTAATCCCTGTTCTACCTTTCAGACGACCTCTAGTACTGCTTGCCTTGTTTGAACCATTTGATATGTTGTTTCTTGACGCAGTTTAGTATTGGTTTTGTCCAAAATTGTTCCCTGTTAATGTAATTTCTGACCCAGTCTTTACATACGCACACACACACACACACACACACACACACACACATATATATATATATATATATATATATATATATATATATATATATATATATATATATATATATATATATATATATATATATGATTGAAATAATAAAAAGGAAATGTTTAGGAAATGTCTTCAAATATATATATATATATATATATATATATATATATATATATATATATATATATATATATATATATATATATATATATATATATATATATAATTTTAAAGACATTTCCTAAACATTTCCTTTTTATTATTTCAATCGTTCTTTTTTCCTTTTGTTAATATCACACGTTTCGTCATATTCGCATCATCTTCAGACTCAATTTCGTCATCATAACCACCACCATTCTTGTCATCAACATAATTATCGTCAGGATACTTCATTATTATCACTATCCCCCCTATCATTTTTATCGTCATCATCATTCTTGCTATTACTGCAATCATCATTATCATCATCATCAAAATTCTTACCGTTTCTACCATCATCATTATTAACGCTATCCTTGTCATCTTCATTACTACCATTATCATCATTAACATACCCCTCCCCCATCAAGCGTGTCATAATCGTCATCCTTAAAACCACTATTATAATCATTATTATCACCATCATCTTTGCTGTCTTCAATATCACCACTGTCTTTACCACGCCCATTAACACCCCTAGTAGATTTCCATCTTCCGTATCGTTATCATCTTTATCGCCCTTAAAACCACTACAATCATCATCATTACCACCAAGATCTTTACCACCATCACTACCGCTCCCATGCTTATTAGTATTCCTAATACCACCATCCTTATGATCATTACCACCACCACCCGTATCATTATCATAATTTTACCTCTATCATCCTTATCATCATCATTACCATCACCGCCGCTAGTATCATCTATATCACCACCAATACCGTTCACCGCTGGCGTCTTCTACCTCTTCTTCAGGAAATGTGCATTCGGATATTACACGTATCCAAATGGCACACGCTACACAGCTCGGATGGTCTTTGACCAGGAAACACAACGATGTGCGCTTGAGGCTGACTACTGTCCCAGGATTCCACAGAACTACTCAGAAGTTCAAAATTATCCTGACAGTAAGTACAATGAGCAGTTACTGGTGCGATAGGAACTCTTCGCTTGCGGCTGAAGGTGGGGGACGGAGCGCTTATGAGAGTGTCCCGAGTGCTATGATGTCGACTTTTAATTCTTCTTCTTCTTCTTCTGCGTTCGACATCAGTCATGCTATACATTGAGTCCCGTCTGGGTCAAAAATAGGATTGTGCGTTTAAGGTCGCCAGCGGTCCCCCATAGCTTCTCTCGCAATGTGGATCCCCTGGGCCAGATCCAGTCTTTGCTGGGAGAGGTAAGGGCAGTACTGCAGTATGTGCTCAGGGCTCTGTCTTTCTGCTCCACAATCACAGGCAGCAGATCCTGTTATGCCTATCCTGTACTCCGAAGTCTAAAAATTGATGTTTAATCTTTCCTGTTGAGTTTGTTTATGCTGTCACTCTCTGGTCTGTAATCTCTATTCTGCTTTCTCCACTCCCACTTGAAGACTGCTTTAATGCTGTTTTGGTTTGACTCTTAATTCAACATTCAACATTCTCTTCAGGGTGTACCCAACATATCGCCATCTTTGTTGTTTTATGACTTTTGATAACAGTGGCTGTGAAAATATTTCTCTAATTGTATCGCCTTTGTTGAAGGCACGTTATCTAAAGTTTATACATTATGTCTATTTTTTGTCATGTTATTTCTTGACCTTTCCCCTTTTTGCTTAGTTTAATCTTCTTGCCTTTTCTTTCTTTTCTGTTTTCTTTTCTTTTTCTTTTCGTGCCTTTCCTTGTCTTGCATTTCCTTTCCCGTCTTGCCCTTTCATTCAGTTTCCTTTCGTTTCGTTTCCCTCCTTACATTTTCTTTTTATCCCTTTTCTAAACCTATGCTTCGTTTTATTTCTTGCTTTTTCTTGTCCTGTTCTCCCACTTTTTTTTTTCGCTTTCCTATACTGCGTTTACGCCATTGTTACTTTACAACTATTTACAACTTCGTGTGTTCCCAGCTTCCCTCACATTGCCCAGTCTCAAACCGTGCTTGAAAGGTCCGGAAGATTGCGTGGGGAAACCTTTCGGGAAATACCCAATGTGCTACCCTGAGTGCCAGAATGGCCGTTACTATGAGTGTTCTTTCCAAGCGGTGACTGTGGTGTAAGTATGGGGTACTTTAGTCAACAGCTTAATTTTTTTTTTTTTTTTACATACATCAACTTGCATAGATGGATATACCTTAAAAAGCACAATTTGACGGTGCCTCATTTAAGTATGTTCATTAGATCTGAGGAGAGAAATGTCTTCTCCTCCTCGTGTTGTTCTTCTTACTATTATTTTCATCATTATTCTCTGCCTCATCCTCCTCCCACTCCTCCTGCTCTTAGTTCTTCTTCTCTTTCTCTTCTTCTTCCTCTTCTTCTTCCTCCTTTTCTTCTTCTTCTTCTTCTTCTTCTTCTTCTTCTTCTTCTTCTTCTTCTTCTTCTTCTTCTTCTTCTTCTTCTTCTTCTTCTTCTTCTTCTTCTTCTTCTTCTTCTTCTTCTTCTTCTTCTTCTTCTTCTTCTTCTTCAAATTCATCGATTGTGAACTCTGACGGACAGTTTTGCTTCTTCGTACCAGGACTTGAGTATTGCGTGCACATCCGTTGTACAGATCTGGTCTATTTGTGAGCAGACTATTGCTTCCATCCCTCTCAGACAGATGCACCGTCTTCGAAAGAAACGTCGATCTATACTATAAGTAGATTTTTAATTCCAAATTTTGCCCGGGCAGCGCCGTTAGGGCCCACTTAGAGAGAATGCCTTGTGACACTATACCATACAAAGCATACATGGAAAGAGAAGAAGGACGTAGAGCACGGAGTAGGCCAAGAACAAGATGGAAGGATAACATCAGAGAAACTCTACAACAGCACGATGTGCCTATGGTCGAGGCAGCCATAAGAGCTAGAAACAGAACCTTATATCTCCCTCGACACCCACAGCGGTAAAAGAGGAGGTGAAGAAGAAGAAGCGCCGTTAGGCTACTCTTTTCGATTTCCAACTGCCAGGGGATTTTTTACGTGCGCAAAAAATCCACATGGGCGTCCGATCTCACTAGCCAAAGGGAATTACTAGAAGTCCAAGTCCACGTGAAAAAAATCACAGCTCTTACTGGGGATTGAACCCGGAACCTCTAGCACTCGAGACAGACACCATGCCTCGAGACCACGCAGCTTAGGACGCGATCGAAAAACAACTAAAACATCAACGCGACCTATTTCACAACTTCATCGACTTCACGAAGGCATTTGGTCGCGTGTGGCATGCATGGGCTCTGATAAATCGTGTGAAATGTCTACTTCGATAAAAACATCATAGACAACATTGAAGCACTTTATAAAGATGCAAATGGTGCAGTACTCATTCAAAATGGCATAGGCAAAATTTTTCCAGACCATTGTGGGGGTGAGACAGGGTTGCATACTATCCCCTTTCCTTTTCCATTTGTATTTGGAACACATAATGAGAGGAACACTAGAAAATAATCAAACATCTATATCCATTCGCGGAAAACAACTGTGTAATTTAAGTTTTGCAGACGACATAGATCTCATGGCTAGTTCCAAAACAGAACTCCAAGAACACTACAAAATCAGAGACAGTCTGTGGTAAATATGACATGGAAATTAATGCCAAGAAAAGCCAGATTTATTGGTAAACAGCCACAATAATCAA